GCATAATAGAAATGTCAATTTAGATATTCAACTAACAGCACGATTAGCGACAATACATGAACTATTGTTTTTAACAAAAATACTGGCATATCCGTAATTGACTAGTTTGCTGAAGATCAATAAAATTTGCATTCAATTGCTTAGAAATGGAATGCTGAGTTATTAACTTATACCTAGAATGTTAAGCAGTCATGGGAATAATTTCCTGGTTCCTTAAAAAATAAAATCTATCTTATCCGTTAAAAGATCTTGCTCATAAATTTTGAATTTAAATGTAACAACATACTGAAATGATTTGGGATTCCCAAAGAGGGCATTTACCGGTCAATCACTTTTTCAAACTATTGCTTCTGAATAAAGTTTAAACTTAATCCGGAATTTTCTGTTTCCTAAAAAAAACACAAGCTCGTAGATGTTATTATATTGGGTTTCTTATTGTACATTAACATCTCCTACATCTTGGACTTGTCATGGCTTTTTAAATACAATTTTAAACAAATTCAATGTGAAGATCTCCTTGTAGTTAAATTAATTTTATACAATTAAATGGGAAAAAGGCTTGTCTAAAAATATTTCTATCTAGCCTTCTAGGAGATTTTCTGTTAAGATTGAACCGGACTGTTAAATATAGTGGAATACTTAAGTGGTTCAGGTGATCGTTAAGTTAATCGTTACAGGGTCATCTACTGACCCTAGGTAAGAAAGTATTTAAATTGCCATTTCAAATCTGAGTTCCAATCCGATTTGGTTTATCTAGCCGATTGAATGGAGACCAGTGTGCCAGGCTGAGTGTGGCTCACAAAGGTATTTCTATGCATTTTATTATTATTGTTTAATTAATATATTTAGACAGTTAGCGGTCAATCTTGGCCAATGGCAGAGAGTAACCATTCGAAGACAACCTTGGGCTGACTCAAAGTCGGGGCAAACCACCGACACCAACGGCACCACCTGATATGGATCAGTTGGGAGTGGAAACTAATTGAAAAGTCTTGCCAGCTCGATGGGAAATCGTGTTGGCATGGTGTCCGACCACAGAGCATAATCCACAAAACTGTCGTCTTCTAATAAATAACACAAAGCGTGCAATTTGCGAACATGACCAATTAAGATAAGGTAATCCAACACAAAGACTTTGTCAGATATATGGCATTAAATTAGTTTAAACAAATCAACGACTTTTGGGGTGAAGGGTGGGCAGATAGCAAACTCGTTTCGGCTTAAGCCAATTCAAATTTGCCGGTAAATATTGTGTGTCAATAATTAATGCCGAAAGTGGAACAATTAAAGTGGAAGAGTGCAAGGCGCATTTTAGTCTCATGAGTAGAAGTAGCTAATTACAAAAATAACATCAAGTATAACGTTTTTGCGGTTTTAAAACATGTTATAAAATGAAGTGAGCAACCACTTTGAAATTCGAATTTAAACTTGAAACAAAGAAATAAACAATTATAAACATTTAAGAGTTATACTAGGCCTCTTATTAACCGTATTAGTAATAATAACAAGTTAGCTGATAAAAAATAATATTATTAATGGGTAATATATTGAGACATCTAAGCAATGACTGAATTTTTATAAAACGTAAATTAAGGCCTTCATGTTTTCTCCCCCACATCAATCTTTGTAGTACAGGCAGTTCAATAAACACATTAATCGGGAGGCAGTTAAATGTATCTGTATTCCGCTCCCAAATTCGCTCAATGAAACTGTATCTTTTGCGGATTAGTAGGTAGCTGCACAGCTCACAAATAAATGGGGAGCGCGAACAGGGGCAACAGGTTTGAGCCACACACACACCTGCCATCCGAGTCACTCGAATTCACGTTATCACGAGTGCTGCCCGCTGATAGCTGACATTGGGGGAGGTACTTTATAGGTTGGCAAACAGAACCTTGTCAATTGTGTTGTTGTGGTGTAGTTGGCGTTGTCGCTGTCGCTGTCTTGATGCCTCAGCATTGGCCAGCATGAGTTGGCAGTGGCGGCGCCATGGTGCACATGTGGCAGGCGATGGAGCGCAACGATGGCTATTGTGGGTGGCTTGAGGCCGAGCAATCAACCCGACTCACCTGGAACACGTAGACGAATATGTGGAAGGTGCAGATGGCTTGGAAGATGGAGAGCAGGGCGCACCAGAGACCCTGCCAGGGACTCAAGCAGCCCAGGAGTCGCTCCAGCAGCTTGGTGTGCAACTGGTCCAGCTCCTCGATATCACTGGACTCCAGCATGGGCGAGGCCTCGCCTGGTCCAGCATCAGTTAGCTCCATTTTGAAACCGCCTCAAATTGCAACCACTTGCGCCTTGCAATGCAAGTGAACTGATTTAGAATGTTGGCTTTCGAAAATGTATCTTATGAATTTCAAATGGGTTTCAGATGCAAGTTTTTGGCTGGCCGGGGTATTGCTCTGAGGTGTCGTGAGCTGAGAGTGCGTATGCCTGAGAGTCTCGAATGCCGGGTCTCAGGTTTTTATGCAGGCGCGGCGTTATTTCAGATTTCTGTGGGGGCCCTGAGATAATGTCCAACACCAACCGCGATGTTACGATAGCCAAATTGCTTGTTAACTTCGTCTTCACACCCGACTAACTGAGTCATTAAAGAACCACTTGATGACTTTATAACTGTGGACCGACGACCTTTTTCGGGGAGTGCCTTGACCAACTCCTCCCACAAGGTTGATGCACACTTTTCGACACGTCAACTTCATTTGGTCTATCCCGTCAACATAAATATAACTCTTATAGAACCGAACTTTCTTTAGTGCGGCCTCGCAATCTTATCTACGACTGTCTATATTTGATTGGTTCATGTAAATAAAACGATGACTTGCCAAGATTACATTTTCTAACTATTGGTTAGTGTTTGTCTTCCCAAGATAACATTATGCTTATCAAGGAAATAGCACAGAAGCAATCAAATCAAAGTAGACCAACTCTTACTCTTATGCATTAAAGGTTATCAGAAGTGCTTAGTTATTGTATATTTCCCTACTTTTCAATTAATTCCCTATAAATTATTAAAAATACTTATTTTAGTTTGCATTGATAAAAATCCGGTGGCGTCTGGTAGATTGAAGTGCTTAGATTTTTTAATTTTAAGCTAATTATTTTATTTCTTAATTAACTTTAAAATTTTTTTTAAATTGCGTTCGAAAACTTGTATGTATGTTTTTGGTTCTAGCTTCTGCTAAGATATTCTTAGGCACCAAAACAATTATTTTAATTTTATAAGCACTGTGGTCAAACTTCAGAGTATTTTCTAAAACAACTGATCAAACACTTCCTCCCTCTTGCATCACACACGGTTTCTAAGGTTAACCAATCTCTATACTTGTTCCCCAATTCATGGGCTCTAAATTGGTATAATTAACCTCTGCAAAATAACTGTGCTGTAGTCGAACTTCTTGGGTTCTTGAATGACTATTGCAATTTCCATTGGTTCTTGCAAAGTACTATTAACCACCGATCTACCGATCCACCGATCGTGTGTGTCAAGGTCGCATGTGGTTTTTGCGCAGCTCCCTTCGATCTGGGGTTACTTTTTGTTGTGTGGGACACTAGCACGCTAGGCATTGATTACCTGGATTACCCTGATTGTCATTATAGTAGCATCGAACCGTTGAAAAATGATGCACACGCAACCTGTCCACCGATAAATGGCTCCAAGTGGCTGTGACAGCCTCCCCGAAAGTTGGTCAAAGGTGCCCGAAGGTCGCGAATCGCTTTCGAGAGGCATTTCAAACAATTCACTGGCGAAAAGGTTAAGTCAAGTGGGCCTGAAAATGTGTGGCCGAAATTGGCAAGCGTGTGTGGCTTTGATGGTCGGCCAGCCAACTCAAGTGGTGGCTCTCCAGAGTGTTATCAATAGTTATTGTCGTTGTTTACCATTTATATGTTGCTTGGCTTTGATTCAACGTTACTCATTTAACGCAAACTCATTTTCTGATAACGTTTTGTAATTTTAGACGCTGTTTCGCTTTTCACCCGGCAATTACTTCATTGTCAACACTTGCATCCAAGAGATACACAACCAATTAGCTGCCTATTATTAGTGCAAATCACTCACAAACTTTACAGCTATAAATCAATCAATCAATTGCACAATGTTTTCTTCCGGTCTAAACCCCAACTGGCCTACATCCGGGGCAGTTTTGTTGAGGGTGGTGAGGGGCTTACCTACCAAAATATTTGGTTTTGGTGTTTTCGTCGACGCAATCAACTTGGCAAATATTTGCGCAGCCATAAAACCGAAACTCACCTGGAAGACAAACATGAACAGGTGAAAAGTGGTGGGCAGCTGGAACAGGCAGAGGAGCAGGGTCCACAGGAAGCTCCAGCGAGTGTAGTGGCCCAGGAAGGTGGATATCACGTCGCTGTCTGCATCCTGGCTGAGGTCCCGGCTCGGCGGCGGGTCCCTGTCCGCGGAACCCTGCTCCGCCTTGGGCTTCTTCAGGTCCTCGGAGTAGCGACGGAAGTCCAATGCTATGACACTGATTTCCGGGGTCTTCGGGCCGGGCCTTGTCTCGCGATATCCGCCATACAGGTTCGCCTCCAGGCTGCCCCTGCCCTTGTCGCGCGGCCCGCCCACACAGTCGAAATTCAGGGAACCGCGACGCAGCACGCCACTCATTGCGAGGAGGTTTGTAAACGATATCTAACGATTTCCCAAGATTTCCGATTTTGTTGCTCCACTTTGCGTTGCGCCGATCGATAGATTGGAAATAAATAAAAACCTGCGTTGATAGTTTGTATCTCAACCGTCGGCGTCGATCTGGAACCGTTAAATGTTCGGCGGCTCTGTTATAAGCACTCTGTAAATCTGCAAAAGAGCGAAAGCTAAGGCCGAGGCATTGCCAGTATCGAAAAAGCTCAACTTAAAGCTCCAACTACCCCACGATCGATCGATTTGGCATAGGCCTTAGCAAGCTTTCGCTTAACTTGTTTGAGTTATGCTTCTTCCTTGGGAACCTTTCCTCCATCATTTCCAACCAGAAAACGGTCAATTTCAATTATTTATTTATTTATTTATATGATTTATTTTGACACTATAATTGCGTTTGCTTTGGTAATTTTGATTTACAACAAGTTGTTTCAAGTGTTTCGCTTAACAGTGTTGAGCAAGTGAGCTTTCTCCACCTTAACGATTAATTTAATTTTGTTTTAGATTCGGGTATTCCGTCTATTTGAAGCTTAAACAAATCTCCTACTTATGACAAATACATAACGAAGCTGATCGGATCCTAGCGGGTAAGTACAATAGGCAACAAAAATAAACTTAAAATAAGCGAAATAAAAATACGGAAAATAATACAAAATACAAATGAGCAAATAACAACTTGGTAGGTAAGTACAACAAGTAATTCAACAGGTTTGTTTCTTCTAATTTGATTGTTTTTTTTTCACAACATATACATACACAAACGCACACATATCCATATACACATAATTGTATACATTGTTAAATGCATTATATTGGAAATTTATTTTGTTCATTTCATATACATATAATCTTTGATGACTCCAAACAATAAAACTCCTTGTATGTTCTGTGTCCCTATAAACAAACACATATATATACAAATCCATAATTGACCGTTACTTACTGAGTGATCTGTTGTATATAAGTTTAGGGGTACGGATAGACTAAGGATTAATTGACTACAATTACAAGAGATTAGAATTTGTTGCTTGAATCTGAATCTGACACTTTCTTTTCTCTGGAAGATTTTTATCCTTTTTAATTGATCTCGTATTTGGAAAACATTTATTAATAGACAACAAGAAAACGACGACGACGAGATTATGCATACGTTGAGATATTGTCAAGTCATATTGACAACAATATAATTTGAGTTTTGCATTGACTTGTGTTTGTCTGTGCGAACATTGATTCGTTTTCAATTATAGTAGCATTACAGAAGTAGTTATCTTTATAGTCAGCGTTTTTAACTGGGAAATTTGAAAAATTTGTATCAGGTAAAATTTTCCTAGGGAGGTGCCAAATATTACAATACAAAAATAAAACGAAATTTAAAATTAAGCAACAGGGTAAAATAAAAGTGATTTTAAGCAATGCAGACAGAGGTATACAATTAAAAACCTCCCTATTATCTTCGATGGAAACCGAAGAACTTAAGCTACTTCGAGTGCTTCTGGTGACATTTTGGGTGTTGTGTGTGTTTTCAGTACTTAGACTATGACATAAGCTACAAGCCATTGCTGTTAGTTAATTGTTAAGATACATACTCACTACGTGCTACGCAAACAAGGTCCTGCCTGACATATGACATTCTCTAGCGAATTGGCATTGCTCTTGGACATTTCATCGAAACGATGCCATACATTTGAGGTGGCTTCAGGCGGTGGATATGTCGGGGGGCTTGGCAGGTCAGGGGTTAAGTGGGTTAAGAGAGACAGCAGCTGCGATGGCTAATCTGACTTCAAATCGGCATACTTTGGACCAGCCAAAATACTTTGTTCCTGGGGTGGCTTAGCAGGTTGGGATTGGCCACAGCGGTCATTACACCTGTTTGGCGGCACTGGCATTGACATTGGCATTGGCATTGGCATTTTCGCCTCCCTGGTTGGTGGCCTTCGTACGCACAGCGGTCTCGGGCAGGAAGAGCACCACAAAGCCGCCGAAGATGCTCCAGGCGGTCAGTAGGGTCATCAACAGGTGGCCCTCGATCTTGTTCTGGAAGAGATCGATACAGGGTTAATAAGACTCCTTAAAGAACCATCTGTTAACCATCATAACTCACCAGCAGTGACAGATAGGGAGTGAGGATCAGGGCCAGACCGGCGGCCACATTGCAGGCACCCACGCCCACATTGCGTATGGGCGTGGGATAAAGCTCCGCCGTGTACACCGGCATTATGGTGTTGCCCGCACTAATGGTGAACTTGCCCATCATCAGGAATGTGATCTTCAGCCAGAGCAAGTCCGCGTGCCCCTCGGTGATCGCCGCACAGCAGCAGGCGACGCCGGCACAGATCAAAGTGGCGCAGAAGAGCCACTTCTTGCCCACCTTGGTGATGATGTACATGGCCACGGCGATGGCGGGTATTTCGACTAGGCCAGCTAGCGCCTGTGAAAGAGGAGGAGGAGGCGATGGATCAGTGGGTGCTGAGGCGGAGCAGGGCAAGCGAACAAGATGTCAACTGTCGGCGGGGCGCATTAAATCAGAACGGCATCAAAGGTGCGCACGGCGTTGTCAAAATAAATTATGCTATAAATTAGCTGAAAAGCTCGCTGGCATGTCCATTGTCGGTTGCTGGACAGTGGTGAGCAATTGGCTCGGAAAACTTATAAAAAATCTAAGAAGTTGTTTGAGTTTAAACAACCGATGGATTTATTAGGAATTATAACTTTTGATGTTTGTTGCATATTTTTAGACATCTGTTTTTTTCTCTGGCACTCCTGCCTAAACAGGATTAAGTTATAATCAAAAGTAACTCAATTAATATCAATATGGCTTACAACTTATTGCAGGATATTATAACGAAAAATTACAAATAGTTTAATTAAAAAAAACATTTCGCCAATTTTTCGGTATGTAAATTTTTAGTTTAAGATTTTACACCACTTATTTCATCAAAGTGCTCGTGCAAAAGCAAACAAACATGGAGATCAGACAACATTAAGCACCTTAGCATTTTAAAACAATCAAAATCCTGAACAAATGCCAAACATGTTTGGCATGCTGTGTGTGATCCAAGGCCCATCAGCACTGTGCTCAACATTCTGCTGGCCAACTGCCAGATGGAGGGGCTGAGGCTGGGGATGAGATAGCTGCGGCTGGCGCTGCGGCCGCGACAGGATTTATCTACTATATTATAGATTGTAGGAGAAGTGGGGGGCCGTAACATCATAATTCGATTGCAAACACATTTTCAACACATTTTCGCACCGTCCAGCAGTCGGACGGTCGAGAAACACTTGACATCGGACAGACAATCTTCATTCATCGGCTAATGGAATTGCTGACAAATTCAATTAGGCGGCCATCAGCACCAAACGCTGCCGGGCATTGTGCACCACTTGTCACTTGCTAAATGCTTTATTGATTCTATATGCTGACAAGATTACGGATTTCGGATGAATTTATCCATGCTTAAGTGGCCCACGATGCGTATACTTAATTCTGAGAAACAAAACTCACCGAATTCAAGTAGACATTGCCGCCGAAGGAGCTCATGTTGAGAATGATGCCGTAGTAGACCAGATTCATGGTGAACCAGATGCAGAAGAAGCAGATGGAGATGCGACGCAGGTAGCTGGAGCGGAACAAGTAGGTGACGTCCTGTGAGCTGCTCTCCTGCGTCGGCGGCGTTAGCTGATAATCGGCGGGCAGCTGGCGACCATTGAACTTGGCGGCCGCCTCGATGATGCGACGTACCTCGTCGATTCGACCCTTGACCAGCAGCCAGCGTGGCGATTCCGGGACCACAAACCTGCCGAACAACAGAACCCAAGAAAATTTAAAGTAAATCAAACGACGATACAAGGTAGGAAACATGTGCGGCGGCAATTATGCCACTCTGTTTATAGTGGGAGAACACCCACGCTCTTTTTTTCCATTTATTCACAAGTCTATGATCTAAACACGCAGGGGGATTTGTTTGCTATATTTATATGCTGTTTGTTTACCTGATACATCGATCAGAGTCTTACCAGAGGAAGCACAAGAAGATCCCTGGAATTCCGATGCACAGCTGCAGGCGCTGGTAATCCTGAGTGAGATAGGCCAGACCCGAGATAATCATATAGGAAATTGGCAGTGGAAAGAGGTTGTACATCCCGGCAATAGTCCTCCACTTGCCATCCACATACTCGATGGCCAGGATAAGGCCCGAGTAGGTGACCGATACGGATACCAAACCCAGCAGTGCGCGAAGTGTCAAATAAAGCTCAAAGGAGTTGCAAATATAGAGCCAGAGACCTGTGTAGGAAATAAAAGGACCATTTGCTTACATTACTTAAATGTCATTTTGTAGAACTCATCTAGGGAATGGAATTAAATAAGTAGAGTAGTTCATGGCACTTTGTTGGACAAGTTAATCATATGTCAAATTAACACGAGCTAAATTAATTAAATAAATATTATTAAAAAGGTAAGGTAATATTTTCTAAATGATTTTAAGTGAAAAAGCAGGCTATTTGCTGCAATCAACAATTATACATAGCTAAGAAAGTTAAGGTGATAATTAGCTTATAAGTTAATGCAAAAATCATTACAACATTTTATAGAATTTCCCTAGTTTTCCTCATACGAACCAGCCTTGCAATCAAAAGCCATTCCGCACACGTGCCCGCCCTCGATTTCGGTCCCTCATTAGTAATGTCTTTTTGGAATGCAAATTTCAATTATACATTGTGAGAGATTTAATCAACAAGGACAACAAGGCCGGCAAGAGCCTGGCAGCAACAACTGCAGCTCGAGTGCCCAACCGACTACGACTACGACTACGACCACCTCCACCGCCACCTGACAGCCAGACCCCTCAGACCCTACAGAACCCACAAAGAGGCACTCGATGTGCTCGTGCTGACCCCCGACATGGCCAAGTTCACAGTCACCGGAGGAGGACATCGTCAGGGCCAACGTCGCAGTGACTTCCGCATGTTCAGGGGTAAATGTAAGTGCTATGATGGGTGGGGGTGTGTATGTGGAATGGCAAGGAATGGCCTTTGGGAGCCGAGAGCCTCTCACCGAATATGGTCTGCAGCACGGCCGATATGAAGAGCATTGTCTTGCGGCCGAACTTGTCCGATAAATATCCGGAGATAATGCCACCTGTTGCCACGCCCAGCAGGAAGAACATCTCGGCCACGTTCTTCAGGTGCTCCTTCTCGCACACCAGATCCCACTCCGATGTCCAGGTGTTCCCGACGTTGTCGTTGGTTTCGTACTCCCACTTCTCGCAGGCCACCATCTTTCTGTCCACCTCCATTGATATCTGTAAGAATAGTAATTCTGCTTTTGAAAGATTTCGTTCATTAATGAAAATAAAACAACCAGCAGTAATTGTGAAAAGGTTTACTTTAAACTCAGACACCTAACTCAAAATGATTAAAATTTCAAGCCAGATAGATTACAACAGGTACAGTCGACTCCATCAGGTGCAGTACTTATATATATATTTTATGTGCCAAAAACCGAATTCCGTGATTTTATAAAAAATTATGCTCTCATGTTTATTAAGAAATAATTACCTAAAAATTGAGCTGAGCCCATATGGCTTGTTAATTTAACTTTAAGACCATGTTTGGTCCTTTTTTTCTTAAATTAATGAAATTTGCCTAAAACTAAGGAATTTTCGATTTTTTTGAGTGTAGCCCAAACTTACCTTCCACTCCGATGGCTGCGTGGTCTCATTGCCCACCTGACTCCAGTCGATGCCCGCCCATCGCTGGCAGTTGTCGACGGAGCCGCTCACGTTGCGCCAAATGGCCACCGGCATCTGCTGGAATTGCGCCGGTCGCTGGCACCAGAAGTCCTTGTTGGCCGCCTGGTAGATGGAAGATGATATGTGGAAGGTATTCGGGACCTGGAAGAGCGACAGCAGCACCGTCATCAGCAGCTGCCACTTGCCGTAGTGGCCCATCAGGTCGCCGATCACGTCGGTCTCGTCCTCATCGTCCGCCGGAACCAGTCCGCTGACAGCCGCCGCCGCCGCCGGCGACTGGGCCGTCGCTGCCTGCTGTTTGGGCGGGATGGTGGGGCTGGTTGCGGGAGACGGCTTGCCGGAGTCGTGCATAATGCACAAAGGAACTGGAAAAAGATGTGAGAAACAACATTAGCTCTATTTTGAAAATTTAATGTGAAATATAATTTTGAAGAAATTTGCTCTGATGCGTTTAGTTAGTTGGATTCTTTTTTGACAGTCAAAATCGAAAACAGGACCGCACAACAGAAAATAGAACTAGTGTTTACAATTGTTTAAAAGAATGTATTTTGCTGTGCAAACAAACGTATGGCTATTAAACAACTAAATAAATTATTTAAGTTTCACCTACCGGATCAACGGAATCGAAAATTTATTATTAAAAGCGTAACGGTTTAAAATCTGTAACATCACAGTAGCGTTTAAAAACAAAATAACATTCGACGTAAAAGCAAACATGTATCAACGTTGTTTATAAGCATTTTGGCCCATTAAAGGTATAGAGATTGCTTCCGTTCATGGTAAAGTGAAACTTGTTTTTATTGCCTGAGCCAACTGAACCTTTAATGTGTTTACTGCGTACAAAAACATCTGAACATTTGTTGGCAAATATCCAACAAAAATCACTGTTCTATTAGTATTAATTTGAGAAGAGGACTTGTTGACCGTCTACAATATTTTTAACGCCAATTAGAACGAATTGGATGGTCTTTATAACGCTGTCGTATCATGCAGTATTCTACATCGCTTTAAAGTGGTGACGATGGATTTGATTTAACCATTTAAATGGTAACTGAATAAAATTTTTAATTTTTTTAATTGTATTTTGGAAATGCGCAATTATATTATTTTGAAATCATGTGTGTATTTCGCTAAGGTCCTTAAAATAATAAAAGATAAACATTTGAGCTAACAAATCTTTAAATTATTAAATTTAATTGATTTCGAATATATTTTAATAATGTATATTTTTAAAATTCTAAAATTGTATGTTTTTTTATTTAGTTTTTTTTTTTTTTAATAGAAAAAGCTCATTTGTAAACATTTGAATCACAAAATTTTTTTGGTTTGTTTCTAGAAAAATTTTCCCATTCGTTAACAACCAAAAATAGTTAAATGCCGAGGATGCAGATTTTTCAAATTCGAAAGAGGGGAGCATGCAAATAATTGACTTAGATGAAAGCGGAACGGATTCTGCGGGCGGGGGAATTAATTTTATTGCCCGTGTCAGGAGCACACAAAGGAGCAATTAGTTAAGTGGCCAGTGACTGGACATAAACCAACTGGGAGACTGAGTCTGAGTCGGAGTCGGAGGCGAAAGCCTCTTAGAAACAGTCCGAATGCAGTCAAGTCAAGCGGCTCTATTTCATTTATTAGGACAACCCCCCGCGTCCCGCGAAGAATGCCCGAGTCCGGTCATTGGTCAACCTGCGTTCGATGGAATTCAATCACGTTGGAGGCGATTAACTACAGCAGCCGGAGACCGGCAAAAGTTGCTGCTGAGCACCGAGAACGAACCGAACGGAGCCAGCTCTACAAAGTAAAAGAATAATAGCCAAGATTTAATGTAATTGCGTCGGGATGGGCGGAAGGTGGAGGTTGCTCCTGCCCCTGCTTCTGCTCCTGCTCCTGCCACTTTCATGTCCTTTGCTCAGTTTGCCAGTTGAACTTTCCCCTCTTCCCTCCCCCTCTCCTACTGTTCGCATCCTTTCTTCGCTTTGCCCTGTTTGCGTTTTTCTTTTGTGGCCCTGGCCAGCGAGTCTTTTGTAGCGTATTGGCTTTGTCTGGGATTTGCCCGGAATGGGTCCACACACATACTATATAAGTAGTAGAGTATAGTTGAACCCGGGGGCAAAGTAGCCAAAGGTATCAATGCCCAAAAGTAGGCAGCAGACTAGCGAACTTTCCGACTTTAGTTGGCCGGACTTAAATGCTTAATTCTTTTCAGTTGATTTACCAGTGGGGTTTTATTAAGCCAAATTAAGCGATTCCCCACACGGAAAAGGGGAATCAGAGGGAGCGTTAGTGGAAGCGAAGAGAATTTGGGGACCATTTAGTATAAATACTTTTGGAGACCAAAGCAAGTCTTAAAACTAGTTTGATTCAACTTGTCCGTTGATAGCAATTACTACTAAATTATACTGGGTACTTTATGGAAGCAATACAAATAAAAATAAACTAGGTATAATTAAATACTCAATATTTTATATAAAGTGTAGCCTTAAAAGTAAATTAAATATATTTAAATAACATAAAACAAAAAAAAATTACAGACTAAGTTAATAAATGTCAAACTTCGGATTTATGCACTAATCAACAACTACCCTTATTGTCTAAACATAAAAATGCATATAAATAAAAATTTATTTAATAAAGTTCTTAAATGTAAAGCAACTACATAATACATAACATACATAATACATTCTATAGAAAACTGTATTGCTGATTTATTTTAAACTCTATTATTCACATAACTTGTCAACAGACGCTATACACCACATGAATCAAATACTCGCACATATCAATCAACAAAGCTAACATTTATGGCACATGTCCTGGGAGCCGGAGCTGGGAGTTAAATTTGCATATGCCCAAGCGCGGGGGGCGTGTCCGAGCCCCCCGAAGAGATATACCATTTAGGAGGGGGATTAGGCACATGTGGCCACTGGGCATTGCATCGCACCGCACCGCACCACTGTGGCAGCAGCAGCATAAGCTGCGGCTGTGGCAGTGGTGGTGGCAGTAAAATTCACGCCATACGCCGCACGTGATAAGCAGTTGAGCGCACATTTTCACGCACTTGTAAACAGGAATAAGCGAAGCGTGTTCGCGAAAGCCGTGGGCTGGAGGAGCCCTCCGCCCCGACACAGTGCCACTCCCATACGCAGGAACCCTATCCCGCTGCCAGGCAGGATAATTAATTATCAATTTTATAGGCAGCCCCTGCATTTGCAGTCGGGCTTAGCTTTTGGACAGCGGAGTTACTGGGCGGTCGCTGCCGCAGATGCAACTGCTGCTCTGGTGTCCACCGAAGGTCGTCGCCATGTCGTGTGGGCACAACGGCTCAATTTCAATGCTATAAACTACGTCGTCGCCGTTTACCTTCAACTAGTGGCGCACATGGCGTATGTGCAATATCATGGCACGCTGAAAATAACGCTAATTGCATTCTGCAGCTGTTGGCGCCCTGGTCACACCCCAGCTGCCCATTCCTGGCCCCCTTCCTGCTCTCGGTTCCCCTTCGCCAATAATTGCTGGTCTGAAAAATCGACAGGTTCCTAGTTTCGAGATTAAATTATTTTAATAAATTAATTGGAAGCTGTCGAAGATGAAATACTTTTACACGTGAACTGACATTCAAAATGAATAAATTAATTGGTTCGTAAATCGCAGATTTATCTAGGTAATTGGGAATTACTCTAACTACTTAGACACACAACAAGAGACATTTCGAAGTAAGCATTAAGTGGTTTTATAGTGATAAACAATTCACTTTCAAAGTGTGGTCTTTAATTTTAATTGAATTTAATTGTTTTTATTTACATTAAGTTATTCCAGCAAAAGGTGAATGTGTTCTACTCAATCAATTGCCTTTCTATCTATCTGACAGCTATCCATAAGAAGCAGTGCTAGTCACTGACGCAATACCTACTCAGTCTAGTTAGCGCTTTTTCATGTTTTGTATGCATATCAGGGGCTCATTGTACTACCAAAGATAGTACTATAAAGACAGTTTCACACACTGTTCAAATCCAACTGCAATGGCCCATGTCCAATTGGTAATTACGTTTACATTGCAGCCATAAATAACGAATTATAGTGCCAGGCACGTTCATAATAATGCATGCTCCTATCCGCGGCCCTAAATGTCCATATATCGGCGGGTTCCCAGGGAGATTCACCAGCTCTGGAGGCGGATGCCTTTGGGTGCGATCTCTTGACACGCTCCACCAGCGCCAGGGCGCCCCAATTGAACACGATCCACACAAGCTCCTCTAATAATGAATTGTTTCAATTGAAAAGTCAATGCCAGAGCTCCCTCTCCCACTGGCCATTAATAATTTGCTTAGCTTCCATTCGTGGTTAATTAAAAATAGCGACGAATAAACGGCGCTAAAGACAATTGACAATGGGTGAAAGAGAGTGCGAGGCTTTCTTGTTACTCATATTTGCATAAATATGCGAGAAATTGCTCCCGCTGGTCGTAAAATATTTATGAATATTAAATTTAATTAACCCAAAGTTTGTACGAGCGGAGTTTCCCTCACTTAAGTAATTTTGTTATTCACACACATTTTTCAAACTTTAGCTAATTACAAGAATTTTACACCATTTTTAAATTTTAAATTTAAATTCTAGTTAAACAAAAGAATTATTTCGACAGAATATATAAACAATTAAATTATATTTAAGCTTAATTAATGGTTTGAGAAAAATTTAAATTTGTTTGATATAAAATTACTTATTATACCTATACGCTTAATGTTAAATAATAATTTGGCGAGCTTCAATCATTTTGTGTTTCTCGTACCTCTATATTTTAAATTTAATCCAAGTCCATGTTTTCACATGACTAACTTTAATGCCAGAAGAAGAAACCATGTTTTTTATTGCCTCTAATTCATTTAATAGATTACTAAAAAAATAGTTCATTAATGAGCTGATAATAAGAAGCACCTATCAAATAATTTCTTTTGAAAATTGTTTATTTAATCACAGCCATAAATAATGGGATTAAAAAAGCCATCTCTTAGCATTTACCTAACTATTCTACATTACTGCTTCGTAATACTTCAGCTAAATTCTCTGGCAGTTTAAGCAGCACAATGATAAATCGAGGGGGGTTTCCCCAGACAATTACGACCGGCCGAGTGAAAATATACAGAAATGGGAAGGAAGGAATCTCGCAAGCGTCATAATCACAAAAGCCGAAATGTGCTAAATATTTTTAATACAAAGGCAAGCGTTTAGCTCTGGGGAGCCAAGAGATGCGCTGGTCGGGTTTGGATGGCAGTGCCAGAGGCAGAGGCAGACAAATTGCCGCTGTAATTAGCCGTCATGCATATAAAAGTGCATTCACTTTCATGCCATGATAGAAAAGAAAAAA